TTTCCTGTGTTTGCAGACTGAATTGACTCTTTGTTTTGGTTTTCTTGTTCTTCTCTGACAATACTGCTATAGTTTTAATTTAATGCATTGGACGAGAGGTTGATTTATACACTATAATATCTGGGTAAGGGGGAGAGAAAGTACCAAGTGAGGGTTTGGTTTGTTGATAAAATAGTGGAAACTAAAGAGTGTCATATATACAGATCATACATACTGGAAAGATGGAATTGCTCCCTGGGAAAACTAGAGATCAACGGCCAGAGACTTGGTCAGATAAAGAATGGCAAGTTACTTTTCAAATGACAATATTGACAGGATTTAAGCAGGTAAATGAGCATCTTAATCAGATCGAAGACTTAATCAAAGATTTTAAGGAAGAGAAAATATCAGATGTTAAACCACAGTTAAAAGAAATGCCAGAACTGTGTGTCTTGAGAGCGATACCAGACAATATAAAGGGGATGATGTGTCACCCAGTAAGCTATGTAGCTACAGCAGCTAGAAAAACTGAGGTTAAAAATCGAATTACTGCTCTAGATGTGTCTTTTCCTTTCAAAATATGGAAGAAACCAGAGTCACAGAAACAAAAGAAACACATTGAGAAAATGGGAGAAGTGAATGAAATGTATACTACGTTAGGCCTGTTGAATATATTTCTAAGACAAAAGGAGAGTGAAAGAGGGGATGTATGTCACAACTGGTCTTGGTTTTCTGATGGTGTTGGAATAACTTATATTTAAACTATAACATAATTGCAAGTTGAAAGCTAGTGGGGGTAATCAAATAGTTAAAAAAAGTAGAAAGATGAGCTCTTACTGGAAAATGAATAGTTTATATGGTTATACACTTAATATGAAAAGATGGGATGATTATATATTTGGTGTTCTCTTATCCTCAAAACCCTTTTTCCATCCCCTCCACTGCCCTTTTCCTTCTGTATTCCTTACCCTACCCTTAATAGTTTAAAAATAAATAAATAAAAAAAGAGAGCTGCTTCCTTGGAAGAGGCAGCTGCAGCTGCTGTTGGCGGCACTGTTGGCGGCGCTCTTCGAGGACAGGCTGGGAGCAAGCTCCGGTCTCAGGCATCACTCGGCGGCAGCTCGGACGCTCGGGGAAAGGCTGGCAGCATGCCTCGCTCACCGGCTCTCCCCCAAGACGGTGCCTCTTGCATCCTCCATCCAGAACTGCAGCCTGCCAGCCTGCCATCCTATATTAGTCTAACTTATTTCAGTGGTGCCTTTTCCAAATACTGGGCCATAGCCTCCCTGAACATTGGGTAACCATATACAAGATAGTATTGTCAATCACCATTTTCCCTCAGTTCCACATTTAGACTATGTAGCAGGCTACATGGGTTGCAAGAAAGAAAAGATCGAAAGAGGTCACAGAGGCAATGCTGCTAAACTCAAACTCACTGTCTTCTGCACATGCTTTTGGCAGTTTCTTACTCTTCCATTAAGAGTTAAGAAAAAGAATTCTGTGGATTTCACAGAATTTGAGAGTTAAGAAAAAGAATTCTGTGGAATTCACAGAAACGTGAATGGAGCATTCAAGTCACTTCTTACAGCAACCCTAGCACTGTTTTCAAAGTACAGTGGTGCCTCCCATAGCGACGATAATTGGTGCAGCAAAAATCGCTGCAAAACGATTTTGTCGCTATGCGATTTTAAAAAGCCCATAGGAATGCATTGAGACCTCTTCAATGCGTTCCTATGGGCTTCAGACTCACCTTTAAACGAAAATCCTCCATACGGCGGCCATTTTTGCTGCCCGGTAAGCAAGGAATCTGTCCCAGAAAACAGTGGACGGCCATTTTTTAAACTCGGCGGCCATTTTGGAACCGCCGATCAACTGTTAAAAAAATCATCGCTTTGCAATGATCGGTAAGCGAAACAGGGTACCTACCGATCATCGTAAACCGATTTTTGCCCATTTAAAACATCGCAATGCAATTGCGAGATCTTCATCGCTATGCGATTTCATCGTTAAATGGGGCGCCTGTTAAGCGAGGCACCACTGTATATGAGATGTCCAAAAAGTGGTTACCATTAACACTTCCCAGTGAGTTATTCATGACCAAGCAAAGATTGAAGACAGGTCTCCTGAGTAAAATGTTATCCACCATACCACAAGCTCTACACCACACTGGCTCTCATAAGAAAGTGTATAATTTCCAAAATATCTTTCCATGAAGAATTCTTTAATGAATAATACCTGAACATATTATAAGCTTTAGACTGTTAAATTGCTTCTTCCTTGGCTTCTACCCTTAAGCCTTGCGACAGGGCAGGCTAAAAATAATCATAATAAGCCCTGTAATTAGTCTCCTACTTAGGGCAGGTAGAATTTTCCCATATGTAAAAAGTCCTAGTGCTAATCCTTACCATTAGAACACAGAAAAGTAAAAATTTGTTTGCCAGTATACTTTTACTAGTTTATCTTAAAGTGTAAGCCCACTGAACCACTGTAGTAAAATGGACAGAATAATGGACTAGGACTCAGGAGGCCTCTGAGCTTGATTCCCAAGTTTTGCCATGAAAATTCTTGTGGGGTGTGTGTGCACTAGAACTGGTAAAACCAGTCCTCAAATACTTCACTTACCTTGAAAACCCTATTACGTTTGCTATAAGTCAGTTGACTTGACAACAATTAACCATGAAATAAACACTTAAGTAAACCTTACTAAGTCAATGGGTCTACTCTAGGTGAGTAACAATCTACTAGCTGTAACATTTAAAAATTTAACAGAGCTTGAGCAGTATGTCTTTTTATGATGCCCTCCGAAGACAAGGAAAAAAGCAGATTATAATGGCCAAACTGTGGAAATACGGTACCTATCAATACAGTTTTGATAGGTTTGGAAAACAAAAGCTGGATCAAACTGTTTGCCTTTGACTTGGAATACACCATTTTTCCTGGCTAAATATGGGATTTTAGTCACCTTCGGCATCTAGACATAGTGATGCCTCGCAAGACGAAATTAATTCATTCCAGGAGTCATGTCATATTGTGAAATTTTCATCTTGCAAACCGCAGTACTAATGGTTGTGCGATTTAAAACAAATCAAAAAAAGGAAAAAATTCATCTTGCAAGTCACCAAAAAACATCACAAAATGCTTTAGTCTTGCGAGTTTTTCGTTGTGTGAGGCATTCGTCTTGCGAGGCATCACTGTACCTACATTGTGATGCGATATTCTCAGACATATCCTATGTGGCAGGCACATATAATTTAATGAGAAGGGAGTGGCTACCAGCTGAACCAGTCACTCATGTGTGCTAAGTACTACTGGTTTTTATCAACAAGTTACTGCTGTCCAAGTTTTAACAGGAGTGAGTGAGAATTGTTATGGTTCTCTCAAGCAAGGCTCTTGATATTTATTTTTTAAGGAAAAAAAGGACTTGACGACAACTGACAACTCTAAAGTTCTCCAAGTACGCAGGATTCTCATGATTTCTCAAAAGTAAAACTTATCTAGCCCAATTTGGAGTTTTTGTGTAGGTACTGGTCTGTGTGGGTGGGTTTTCTGTAGACCTTGTGTCCCAAAAGGAGGTCAGTTTTGCGTATGATCATGACATCTAAGAAAGGGAGTTGGTTCTCTATTTCTTTTTCCATGGTGAATTGTATATTTGGGTGGATGCT